TATATATATATATAGGGATTAATTAAGATTTTTATTTTTTATTGTAAGGACCATTAGGAGAGAATAAGAATTCATAGATGAAATTGAGAATTTATTAATAGATTAATAGTATAAAAAAAATGCGGCAGGCAAGTTAACAAATAATTTATGAAAAATTCAGGGTTTGGATTTGTATGATGCAATTATCATTCGATTAAAGGTCTTAACTTCATATAAACTATAGATCTTTCTTTTAAATTTCTAGCAAGATAAAAGTTACCTAATTTGGATGATTATATCTCAAGTTAAACCTACAGAAGGAAGAAAAGAAATATGAAAATTACTATATCTTTTCTCTATGTCCAATTTATGCCTAATTATCTCAAATTGAACGCATATGGAAATTCTAAAGGTATTTAGTTAAGATTAACACATTAAATATGTGTAAAATAATTGAGTTATCAAATGCATTCATTCTAAATCTTTTGTACTCTTGGGTAAAACATAAAATTGGGCTTAGAAGGAATAGAACAACCAAATCACTACTTGTAGGATGAATTTGTAACAGAGCCTTTGTAAAGAATCAAGATGAGCTTCCAACTGCCATTTGGAATTGCTGTGGTACACGAAGCAATGGAGCTTGAACGGTGCCAGGCTTACCTAATTGACCACAGGCAGCCATTTGATCATCACCTCTACTTAGCCTTAAAAAGACTATCACTCCTGCCCTAGCCAACGTATTACGGAATTCAATCATCCTTTCCTCTTTGGTTGGTCTGAACAATGATCCACTGTGCGGATTGAATGAGATTAGATTAATCTTGCAAGGAATGCCCTTCACAAGCTCTATAAGCCTCTCTGCATCTCCATCACTGCCATAAAAAAATGTACAAGTTATGCAAAAGAATTACTTTTAAGGATGTGATGAAGGTATATACAATGACTAAATAATCAAAAGTTGTTAGTACAAGTAGTTCAACATTTGAGTTCTATAACTAAGGACTGAACTTCGATCTCCGACTTAAGTATGAAGCCATGATTGGAGATACCACTTTACTTTCATGAGAGTCAACCTAGTGAGAAGGAGTTATATCTCTTTATTAAATAAAAAAAATACAATGATCAAACAGCTAAATTTGAACATTGACTTCAATAATGGTTGCTTATCTACATGATTCATAATGAAAATGAACAGCTACAAATCAAAAGGCAGAGGAAATTGAGAATGTATGAAAAATACAATTTTAACACTTCGCTGGAAAAAGCTTTCAACATGTACAGAACATCATGCAATCTAAAATTCATACGTCATTCCAAATTAAAGTCCTGTAATCGTTACAAAAAATTCAGTATATAAAATATGCACATATGACAAGACATGTTGTTAATATACTAAGTCATTTATGCATGGTTACGAGCATGCATTTGATTCTAGCTCACGACAGTCCACTGTTGTCAGTTTTGTTTGCAAAAATAAGAAGCTCTGAACTTAGACACAAGGAAAAAATAAAAAGCCTATATATCCAACACAAGCAATATACAAAGTAAAGTTTAGCTAACCTGTCATTAATTCCTTCAAGCATCACATATTCAAATAGAACTTTGTAGTTGTTTTTGAGGCAAAGCTCCTCTCGAAGTGTCTGGAGAAGCAAGTCCAGTTTATACTTTCGATTTATAGGCATGATCCAGTTTCTTACCTGACATTAGATTCAAATGAGACCAATCCTTCCTCTCTATCCATCCTTGCATTTTCAGGTCTAATTTTAAGGGTTATATGCCAACCAATACCAGTAAAGTTATAAGAAATTTACCTCATCAGAAGTAGCATTCAAACTAACAGCTAATGCACATCTGGATTCCTGGAGGAAACGTTTGATCTGTGGAACAAGCCCACTGGTTGAAATGGT